GGGCGCCAGAGCCAGCGCAGGGCCAGACCTAGAGACCTCGGGGGAGCCTGGGGCCTCCAGAGCCGGCCAGGGAGAGCCCAGTGGAGGTCAGGGCCGAGGACGCTGGCTGCCCCCGAGGGGAAGCCTGGCCACACCTTCCGACCCACCGTGTGCCCCTTGCCCATCACAGGGAGATCGAGTTCCTGAAAAAGGAGACTGCGCAGCGGCGTGTTCTGGAGGAGTCGGAGCTGGCCAGGAAGGAAGAAATGGACAAACTCCTGGACAAGGTGGGACTGGGGGCTGGGGTCAGGGCCCTTGTGGAAGGCAGCACATCAGCCCCCGTCTAACACCACCCGACGGGTCCTGGGGTGGGTCATGTCCTCACCTAGGGGACCCGAGGGGCTGGGCCTGTGCTTGGTACTCAGGCCTGAGCCCCCGCCCCTGTTTTCCAGATCTCAGAACTGGAAGGCAACCTGCAAACACTGAGGAATTCCAACTCCACTTAACAGGATTCATCCCATGACTGGACAAAAATGCCCCCTCCCCTCGTCCTCCCTCCCCTGTCCTCCATACCCACTCCGCCCCTACCAGCCTGGGGACAGGTGCCCCGACTCCCCTCCCTCCTCCCCCACCTCCCCAGCTTCAGGGACCAGAGGGCCCATTTCACAGGCCCCTTAAGGCGGCCCAGGCAGACAGTGGCGACTGGAAGGGCGGCCTCCTTCTCACCCTGTGGGGCTGAGGCACAAGGGCCGAGGGAAGCCAAGGGCTGGCCTGGGTGACGGATGGACACAAGGACCTGCAGACCAAACTGCCAGACTTTACAACCTCCAGCCTTCGTCTCTGGACTGGAGGGGGGCTGGGGCTCCCCCAGCATCTCGCCAACTGGAGGCTGCTCCCTGACCCCTCGGTCTCGACTCGAGATCCTACCTTCGTGGCCCTGCCTCTCCCATATCATCATCGTGCTGTCTGTTGCATTCCAATTCTCCTGTTTGGGAGGTGGGTGTTTTGCCTCCTCCGCTCCCTGTTCCCTATCCCAGGAGGGACAGAGCTCAGCCCGAAGCCGGAGGCTGGGCCTGGCCCTGGCCCTGCACTGATTTCCCCTGTATCCTTCGGGAAAAGCGGAGCGACAGTAAGAAGAGGGGAGAAGCCCAGGATCCTGGTCCCTGACTCCCCCTTCCTGGGGGACCGCCAGCAGCCCCCGACTTCTCCCTCTGCCTCCCCTCTCCTGGGTGCCAAATAGCCATAACCTCCTCCCCTGAACTGTTCTGCCACCTGTGGTGTGGGGGGGATCCCGGCTGAGCCTGGGAGGAAGGGAGGTCAGTTTAGGGGCTGCTACTTTCTCACCGGAGAGCCAGACCCTCCCGGCCCTGCCCAGGCCCACGCCTGGAAGCCTTGTATGAACAGCGCAGACTCAGCCCTGGCCCCACAGTTTTCCCATATTTTGACTGGAGGGTAAAATTTTACTACTTCTCCTATTTTTGGAGACCAGGGCTGTCCACCCACCACCACCACCACCCCTGGCAGCCTGCTTTCTAAATGAAATGGACTTCCCCACTTGAATCCCAAATTAGGGCTTGGACCAAGGGAGATGAGACACCCCCCTTCCCATAAAATCCATTTTGCCACCTCCCCTCTCCCCCTCCCTGAGCCTAGGTTTTGGTTCATTTTTTAAAAATCGACCCTGCTCCATCCGTTTCAGCTTCTCCTTGTCCCCTGTAAATAGACCACGCCATCGACCAGTATTTCTTGCCCATCCCCCGCCCCGTTCCTGCCCTCCCCCAAAGTGCTGGCCGTCTCGGTGCCCCGCCCATGCGCTTCACCAGGGCAGATGGAGGGGGCGGGGCCTCGGGCGCTTCCGGCTTCCTGGCCCGCAGCCGCCCCTGCCCCGCCCTTGGAGGACCCGTCTCTGTATATAATATATATATGTATGTATTGTTCCCGGTTTTGTACGGACCATGCCCTCCGTCAGGTCGTCCCCATAAAAGCAGCCCCAGAGCGTCGCTGCCTGCTTTCTTGATTCGCTTCACTGGGAGGGTTCAAGGCTCCAGGACCCTGACATCTTCCTGTCCCTCTCCCCAGCAGGCTGCCTCTCTGCCCGTACACCCCCAGCATCGCCAGTGCTTTCTGTCTATTGGTTTCTGTACGGTTTGCGCAGTTCCTTATGTTCCTTTTACAAGATCTCTGGAGGAGCTCAGGGATAGGTTGGATGTGGAAGCGAACCCCAAGTCGCTCCGGAGAACTGCACTGATGACGCTCTCCAGAAGGTTTAGGACTGAAGGTTTCAGGGGGGGGCAGCCTTATCCCAGGGCCCTGCAGGCTGTTCCTCTTGGGGCGGCCCTAAGAGGTCTTAAACAGGTCTTGACCCCTGCTCTGTGCCAGCAGCTCTGGCCGCTGCATCCCCAGCCCTAGCGCTAGAAGGTCTGGGGGTGGTGCCAGAGCTCAGGACCAGCTCTGGTGGGTCGGAGAGGTGAGGGGTAGGGGGCGCTGGAGCTTCAGACAGTGCCCAGGGGCCCGGTGCACATGCAGGAAGGAAGCCAGCTTGGGTCCTATGGCTCACCTTCCCCTCCCTTTCCCTTAAGGAAGGGAAGTCCCAGCCACGGGACCCTTCAGGGTCACCCTGCGTTCTTAGCACCCCAAGATGAAAGGCACCTACCCCAACTCCAGTGACAACCACTGAGGCTGCACTCCCTTCGGGATGGCTTTTGCCACACAGGTCATATTCCTGTCAGTCCAAAGAGTTCCCGTAACTGCCCCTCCTCCAAATTCTAGACCTACATCTCAGGGTCATGTGGGACCTGTCCAGTCCTGCCATGCGCCTGAGGGTCACCTGTATCCCTAGGAACAGTGCCCATGCCTCTCAGGGCATTTCCTGCCAGTGGATCCTCTTTGGGGGGCTTGGGGACACCGGGCAGATCCAGAAGCTGAACCCATGGTCACAGGCCACCAAAGCACATGCTGCAGCCCCATGGTTACAGGGTTAGGAGTCCCTGAATCCCAAGAGGTCCTGAGAAGTGATGAGGGTAGGTCTTGCTGGGTGGGGAGGCAGATATGAACTGAGGGTTTCTGCTGCCATCCAGGTGGAGTCCTGCTGTCCCTAGCTGTCCTGGAGTTGAGGAGAGTGGCCTTACACATTGTTCCAGAAGATGGGCCGAGTAGCCCCTCCTGTCTAAGCCTGAGTGTGTCGTGTGGCTGGGGGTGCTGTGTATGGCTTTGCCGGGAGTTTCTCAGTCCTGTGTGAGGCTTGTCACCTTAGCTTCTTGTCCCAGCCCGGTCCCCATCCCCTATCCAGGTCCCCCGGCCTAAGCAGGTTTCCCACAATCCCAACACTCGCCTTAGGGCAGGGGAAGCAGATAAGGGGGATTTCTCAGCTCACAGGAGCTTGGGTCTCACTAGGAACAGGGGACCTCCCAAGTCCTGTGGCCCAGCCAACTTCCTCCCAGGATACCCATCCCTCCCTCCGCTGTCTATCACTGCCTATATCCCATCATCCCCAGCCCCTCGGGATCTACAGGGCTTCGGAATCAATTCCCCACTCCAGCCCACACCTACGTCTCAGCACATGCCTGCAAACCACATCCTCTTTTAAAAAGATTTATTTATTTGTGGTGGTGGTGGGGCTTTGAACCCAGGGCCATGCACATGCAAATGCCAGGCAAGTGTGCTGCCACAGAGCTAAACCTTCAGCCCACCCCCTTTAAAGTATTATTTTGAGACAAGACCAGCGTAAGTTGCCCAGACTGGGTTCGGACTCGCCATCCTGCCTCAGCCACCCGAGAAGCTGGGACAAGTGCGGGCTGCCACACCTGGCAGACCGTATCAACTTCACCAAAGACACCACCTCTTCCCCGGGTCTCCAGTCTAGCCAGTGCCTGTCCACAGATCTCGTGGGAGATCCTCAGCCCCCGGGGGTGTTGATGCTGTGCTCTCCACCGTCCCGGGGCCTCCACACCCCTCCCCAGAGCCCTGGACCCTTCTCCATTCACCACTCTCTCCTGAACAACCCGTTTCCTTTTCCCAAGACTCTGGCTTCTCCAGGGAAGGGATGGGGGGCAAGAGAACTGCTCTCCTCCAGGGTCCTGACCAGGACCTGGGAAGTGCATGGTGGAGTGCAGCACACCCCCAGCCCTGCCAGCCCTGCCCTAGGGTGGCCAGTCCTTGGCGATGGCACTGTCGCCCCTGGCTGGCCTGCCGCCAGGTCGGGTCTGAGCACATCCATCCCCACCCCACCAGCACTAAGGGCTCCCAGCATCCAGCCAAGACCCACCTCCATCCTGGACCCTCCTGCTCTCGGTTCTTTGTCCTGCAGGCCCCCAAATCCAGCCCTACACCTTGCATAGTGCTCCTTCTGATCTCTAATCTTATGCTCCCTGATATCTTCTCCTGACGCTGCTCCCTGCTTCCGGCCTGCCTGTGCCTAGCATGCAATCTGTTCCCCAGCGAGGAGCCCGGGCTTCTTCCTAAATGCAGATCCGAGAGCCTCCCTCCTCTGGCAAACTTGGTTTTTAAGAGTTTTATACCCGCCTCCCGCCCCCGGGCTGGTAAAGTAGTGCAAACCTTGAGGGTGCCTGACCTGTCTTCCCCTCTGGTCCCCAAGGCCACCGCCACTTCTCCCACCCCTGCCGGCTGGGGGAGCCTTTGGAAATCCTTCCTGTCCCCAGCCCCAGGCTGGACTAAGAGCCCTCCCAGCGAAGCGTCCAGTGTGAGCGGGGTCCCCTACTTGTCTGCCCCCCTCCACGCCCCCTGGACCGTTCGCCGAGGTTCTCTCCATCCCCGGCGCTCCAGCGGACGTCTCCGCGCGTTTGTTGAATGAATGAATCAGGAGCCTACCCAGACCCTGCGGAGGAGGCAGAAGCCCCGTGGGCCCCCAAGTGGCCACCCACCCCGCGCAGTCTTCGGGGCGTAGCGTC